CACATTATATTTTTCTAGGATTGAGTTTTTTAACAGTTGATATTTTTTGGATTACGTTTCTATCTTATAATTTTTCAAAATTTTAAAAGATTTGTTAAATGTTGTCCGGTTATCCCGTTTAAAAGCTTGAGATGTGATTTTTTTTAGTTTTAAATTTTTTAAGATAAGGAAGTCTCTAAAATATCTTAATTTCGTACCATGACTCCTTATCACCTGTTTGTTTTATTTGTTTCAGGGTATGCAAACAGTTTGACGAGGGTATGCAACCTATTAGGAACTATATATAATTTTTTGAAACATGAATAATTAGTAGTTCTTATAAAAAAATCAAGGGTATGCAATTGCATACCCTTCTGATAGTGTAGATCCGCCCCTGGCATTGTCTATTATAGGCATTCATCTAGGTACACTTAGAAACTAAGTGCACTTTTTTCACAATGTCTTTATTTAGAAATATTCTTATCTCTTATCAAGTGCTACGCTAACGACTTAGGTTATATCACTAGTCACTCTAGGAACAATCCAATTAGTACTAATAACAAGTATTCATCGGTAGCTGTTGACTTTAGACGTAAGGTTAGCAACTAGAGAACCACTAGTGACAATCTTAAGTCGACACCAATACCATTTTTACCTCGATACCCCTATATCGTCTGCATACTAGAGTTATGACTAGCAAAAGTGTTCCGATACCGACACAAGATACAATTGGAGCATCGCGTTATGAGGTATATGAGTCGCCATGAGTAATCACTTGGATCCCATTGGCGAGCATCCCCGATATGAGTCTCGAGCAGACACGGAGGTTTAACCCATTTTCACCGATACGTGAGGCTTCTCGTCTACACTACGATTATATTTATAGATTGTTTCATCTTGACCTTAAAGCTTAATCTAGGATATCCTTTTTACCCTAAACTTTTTCTTTAGGTAGTTCTTACCCTACCATCTTTACTTTAAATATCCTAATTCAAGCACAAGCCATCCCCCTTATCAAATTACTAACATGTTGCATGTCCAACCTTTTCATGCCTGATCAAACATCGCGCTACCTCGTTGTACGAATCTTTCCTATAATTTCGAATATTCCTTAACCCTTTTCATTTTCATACATATGTCTTAGTCCTTGTCGACATTACTTACATTCTCGTCGTTATCAACGATTACATCCCCTTACGTCACACACCACACGCCAAACCTATAACTTAACCTTTGACTGCTATACAAAGGCCGCAAAACTGCATTGACACCATAAAATGTTTTACAAAAAAATTTTCATGTCCTCTATTTTGGGGAAAAGTCATCGGTACTCGCCTTAAAATCGCCTTAGTATTTAGGTACGATCAGCTACACTAATCCACCTATTCCTTACTTTTTAATCTTCAATCAAAAACCTATTTCATTTCACTGGTTTTATTTACTGTTAATACAATTTTTTTCTAACCACTTCATATACTTTACTAGACCTTTCCTTAACCATGTATCCCCTATTTTCTCGCTAAAAACAACCAAATTTACTTTTGCTAGCGTACTTTAACTTAACACTTTTCTTCAAAACTTAATTTAACTTATAGTGTTAGATATATTGCATCTTAAGAACAACCTATTCAAAGGATCGATTCCAGATTCAATTTAGTAAATAGTTTATGATCATTTTTAATGAACTTTGTTATCATAACTGAGCTTATGTTATTCATATATACAAGCTTGTAAGCCTATCATACATTCAAGCTTATAAACTCACTTGAGCATGGTCTTTTTACCAATATGGGACTCATTCTCACACCCACCTCACTTGCTAACTTTTATTCTCAAATACCCATATTTGAGTATCGATATCTCATTCACACATACTCCATTTTGGACATACGATATTTCGTTTCGAAACTCTCACGGAGGAGAACACAAACCCACTTAGAATTAATTATATGTACAACATATGTATATATTTATATTTGTCCAATGTTAGTAAAAATATAAATACTTATACTTAAATTTCCAACAGTAATAACTACACAAGCATATGTAATTAGATGTATGCAGGCTGTTTTGGAAGGAAATTAAAGCTTTACAAAATACACATTTATCACCTTTTGAAGATATTCAAGTTTTCTGATATAGACATGTTTAGATTAGCCATCACCTTTTTCATATAGCCACTCTTCAAGATCTTGCAGTCTTTTAGAGATGATTTCCATCTCTGAATCTATTGCTACACTTGAGTAGGAACTTAAAAGATAAATCACAAAGTAATCTTATCAAAATGTATGCAATTCATATAATCAAAAGGAAAATTACACAGGTTATATTAATGAGTACCAACACAAAAGGAAAAACTCGCATTGATACGATTGTCGTAGATACAAGACTCGAGGGTGTTTCATTTTTCTTTAGTTTTCTCCACCTTTATATCTTCCTTTGCAAACATATGTGCTCAATTTTGAGCTTCACATGCTTCTTCGCTTCTCCGCCCAGACCCTTCTTGCTTCCACACCCTAACTTAAGAATTCATGGTATCATACATATACATTAAGAACTTTAATGAATCAAATTTGATAAACCAGAGTATTAGACGCATACCTAGACACAAACCTGAGAATCTTGACGATGGGTTGATGGCGATGGGCAAAGGGGATTATATTGTGGAGGTCGGCGCCTCAAAGAGAAATCAGAAGTCATCACGTTGTTGACCCAAAGTCGAGGTAGTCGTACATCGTTAATGATGGGGGTGGGGACGACTGAAATCAGAAATGATGGGATGGAGTCAGCAATGTTTGGGTGGTGTTGCCAAATGAAATTAAGGTAAGAAAATATATAGTGGAAGAGAAATGCAACGTGAGGGGAATCAAAATTTGGAAGGAGCATCGCCTGGGAACCAAAAAATCTAAAGGCACAAATAAATGTTTTTAATGCGGTTATATGGAAACCACACCAACAAATTATTTAGATAATGTGATTCCATGGCTTATTGATACGAAAATACTTTTTGAGTGTTTTAATAATGCGGTTTTGGAAACTCATCGCATAATTAAATACATTTTGTACTAGTATAATTAGTTATAGAAAAAACATTATAAATGGTCCCTGTAGTTTCCCTAGATCAGAACTTTAGTCCCCGTGGTTTAAAAACATCGTAGATGGTCCATGTGCTTTCAAAACTTTTGATGATTGGTCCTTATTGCTAATTCCGTTAAGTTTTGTCCATTAACTGAAGGGCATTTTCGTCATTTCACTACCATAGGACCATTTATGATGTTTTCTCTTATTTAAAAAAATAAATATAATTATTTAATATATAAAATCTCTCTCTCTCTCTCTCTCTCTCTCTCTCTCTCTCTCTCTCTCTCTCTCTCTCTCTCTCTCTGATAATCCCACCAGGAATGTCGACCATTTCATATTTTCCTAGGAAATCCCTACCTCCGGTTGTTTGCTTGTCCCAAAAAATCAAGAACATAACCATATATTGTTGCATCTTCAAAATCATGTTCATCCTAATACCAATATCCAAAACAAACTTCTTCCCCACCCCCTCATCTCCCATTTCTTCGGTCACATGCCACCATCTTCATCATCGTCAAGTAGCTTGTTTATACACCAGCAAAAAAAACTCCAAAAACCACTTGCACCCTAGCCTTTAAATCCTACAATACTCCATATCTGGTGCGAGAAGCTGTTAGGGTTCCGATTAGATTCCGGCAACCATAAACGAATATGTACAAAAGGACTTTTGATTATGAAGACCTCCATCTCTGACGCTATATATGTGTGTGTTATGAGGTTGAAATCGATTCTAGAACCCTAATAGCAGAACTCAAATCGATTCTAGAACCCTAAAATCAGAACTCAAATCGATTCTACATCTCTGACGAATTTCCCATGTTGCTTCGCATCCATCTTCGTCGGTGAAGAGGCCGAGTCTCGTTCCCCTTAAATGCTCAATTGCAAGCAAGACTGGTACAAGCAGTCATTAAAGAAAGTCAATTTCTTGCTCATTTTCTCCTCTTTATTTCTCGCATCTGGTTCTGGGTTGATTGTAATCAATAAACTTTAGGTTATGAAAACTTTCACACATCTTCGTTTCCATGATCATTATTTGGAACTTTCTTGGTTCGTGGGAAGAGGAGAAACCAGGGGCGGAAATGGCAATAACATGGTTTGATGAACATTTGGGGAAGGAATCGAGAGAGAGAGAGAGAGAAGAAATGGTGTTCATCTGACCACTGAAATTACAATTTGCCATTGACGGGAAGAAATGGTTTATCGGAAATGGCAATAACATGGTTTGATGAACATTTGGGGAAGGAAGAGAGAGAGAGAGAGAGAGAGAGAGAGAGAGAGAGAGAGAGAGAGAGAGAGAGAGAGAGAGACCCTTTACATATTAAATAATTATATTTAATTATTTTAAATAACCAAAAACATCATAAATGGTCCTTGTGGCAGTGAAATGACAAAAATGTCCTTCAATCAACTGACAAAACTTAACGACGTTAGCAGTAACGACCTATCGTCAAAAATTTTGAAAGCACATGGACCATCTATGGTGTTTTTAAACCATGGAGACTAAACTTCAGATCTGAGGAAACCACAGGGACAATTTATGATGTTTTTTTAGTTATATTAGGACATTCTTGAATATTGTTCCCATCCGCTACTGTTTTTATGAGTCAGCTATTATAATTATTTCAGAAAAAACTAAATGTTTCTGTGATGGATGTTTGATATAAAGTATACTTTTTTAAAGATAAGATGTTTCTAACGCGATAAGGTTTAGTGGAAGCTTTAGGGAAAAAGCAAATTTTGAATATTACGTGTTCTGTGCATGGAAAAGACATATATATATATATATATATATATATATATATATATATATATATATATATATATATATATATATATATATTATTTTTTCTGCCTTGACGTTGAGTCTCTTTTCTCAAAAACATATATCTACAAATCTTGACCTCGTCATTCAATAGTGTCTTAGTTAAGAAACAACAATCATGAGGAAGTTATGGCTTGGTAAATTCCTTCTCTTCTTCACTTTTGCAACCACAAACCTCACTTCTGGTTGCTACGAACATGAGAGGGGAGTTCTTCTCCGATTCAAACGCAGCCTTGTATCAGACCCTTCTGGTCGACTGTCATCTTGGAATGGAAACAACTGCTGCCAATGGCAAGGGGTTGGCTGTGATAATGCAACCGGACATGTAACTACGCTTGACCTTGGAAGCCCTTATTTGGGTTATGCCGAGATGTTAAGGGTAAATAAGTTGAAGTCCTCTTTGGCCGAGCTAACACAACTCAGGTTTCTGAATCTTTCTTCCATGGGCTTTTCTGGCATTGTTCCTCATTTTATTGGAAATCTTTCGAATTTGTGTGTGCTTGATCTCAGTAACATGGATCTAGTCGTTGATGATTTCACATGGGTTACAAGTCTTTTGTCACTCAAACATCTCGATCTGAGCGGATTGAGTGTTGTTAAAGCTCCAAATTTCAACAAAGTGCTGTTGTATATGATTTCTTCTTTACATGTGTTGCGCTTGTCTGGATGTGAGCTTTCTAATCCTCATTTCTATGGCATGCATCATGAATCGAATCTTACGCTTTCTCCGATTCACACACTTGATCTAAGTTCCAATTTTGTCCAAGACGAATTCCCTCTGTTTTTACAAAACTTGACCTCTTTACAAGTTCTTGATCTTTCGTTCAATGAACTTAATTCTTCAATCCCAGTCATGAAAAAGGTTGTCAATCTCAACCTTGAAGAAAACAGGTTTAAGGGTATTGAAGATACCAGGGTGTGGAGACTCTGTCAGTTAAAGCGGTTGGATCTTTCATTCAATTCTATGGAAAGGCGATTCATGGGCCCATCAACAAATGGATCCGAATGTGCCCAATTTGCTCTGGAGATGCTGAAATTAAATGAGAACCAGTTAAATGGTGAAATCCCAAAATCACTAGGAAGGCTTACGGCCTTGAGAGAGTTGAATCTTGGGTGGAACGAGTTAACAGGAACCATCCCCGAAGCTCTAGGAAATTTAACAAGTTTGCGGGAATTAGATATATCTATGAACAAATTAACCGGTTCGATTCCTACATCTTTTGGAAACCTGCTGTTGTTAAAAAATCTTGATTTATCTTCAAACCTGTTAAACGGGACAATTCCATTCACCCTAGGACGACTATCGAATCTAGAAAACTTGTCTCTCACCTTCAATTGGTTGTCAGGGCTTCCATTATCGCTAGGAAACCTCTCAGAGATCCAGTCTCTTGGTTTATCCAATAACTTTTTACAAGGGCCTCTTCCTACCATTGGAAAACTTTCCAAACTTAGTTCTCTTGATATATCGGGTAATTCTTTATCTGGTGTAGTCACTGAAGCCCATTTCTCAAATACATCGATGTTAAAATACTTTGATGCAACCTCAAACTACAAGTTGAGCTTCAAGTTTTCGCCTGATTGGAAGCCTCCTTTCCAAATAAGAAAACTTGAACTTGGATCTTGCAAAATTGAATCTGAATTTCCACAGTGGATTCGAGCACAAACAAGTCTTGAAACTCTAGTCCTTTCCAATACTAGCATTTCTGGACCACTTCCAGATTGGCTTAGCCAGTTTCCAATCATGATGACGCTTGATCTCTCCCATAACTTTCTTAACGGCCCATTGACAAACCTTCCATCTAACCAAACAATCGAGTATTTAACCATAAGTTACCCTGGACAGTCAAGATTGTTACTTCTTAGGAACAACCTCTTTAATGGATCGATTCCAAAATCACTGTGTAATATTACAAAGTTAGCTATTCTCGATCTCTCTAGAAATATGCTATCGGGAACTTTTCCAGATTGCCTTGGAAATATCGGAAACCTATATGTTTTGAGATTAAGTTCCAACCGGCTCGCGGGTGTCATTCCAAGCTCTCTGGGCAATCTTGGTTCTTCACTAGAATGGTTAGCTCTAAACAACAATAGTTTCCAAGGCGAACTTCCGAAAACGCTAGCAAATTGCACAAATTTAGCTTTGTTGGATTTGGGTGAAAACAAATTCTCTGGAAGTGTACCAAAATGGATTGGTGAAAATATGAAGGAGCTTGTTGTCCTCAGGCTACATAAAAACAGCTTCACAGGTCCAATTCCTGTAGAGTTGTGTGAAAGATCCACCCTCCAAATCATGGATCTTGGAGAAAACAAATTAACAGGAACCATCCCTCGCTGTTTCCAGAACTTAAGTGGAATGATCACAGGAGGCGACATCAGTATTTCTTTTTCAGGCTCATTCGGACTGAGTTTGAGCCAGGTTATGAAAGGAGTTGTGCTAGAGTATACAACCACATTGAGATACGTTGTCAACATAGACCTTTCGAGCAATAATCTAGTTGGGGAAATACCCAAGGAGTTGGCACTTCTTTTGGGATTGCTTGGTCTTAACTTGTCTAACAATCACCTCACAGGTCGTATTCCAGATAGAATTGGTGATATGAATTCGTTAGAGTCTCTTGACCTTTCTATCAACCATCTTTCTGGGATGATCCCACAAAGTCTGTCGGCATTGACATTTCTTAGCCATCTGAATTTGTCACACAATAACTTATCCGGAAGAATCCCAACAGGAAGTCAGCTCCAGACACTCACTGATCCATCCATATATGCTGCCAATAATGAGCTTTGTGGTAGTCCGTTGCCAGTCAATTGCAACAAAGATGAAGTCCCAGAAACTGGAAGAAATGCTGAGGAAGATGAAGACGATGATGGCGATGAGAAGATATGGATTTATGGTGCAACAGGCGGTTTCACAACCGGGTTTATGGGAATTGTAGCAATTCTGGTACTTAAGAACAGATGGAGACTTGCTTTCTTCAATTTTGTGGGTTATTGCATTGGCAAGAAACTGTGAAACTTAGAGGAAAATTACAATGCTTGATCAAATTTTCAGATTTCCTTTCATGTCTTAAACAAAGGCTTGAACACAAAATAAAGTGGAGTAGATCGATCAACTCGTCTAAAAGTTCATGGCCGATGAGACCTTATGAAGCACGTAAGTTTTTTTGTTTTTGTTTTGTGGTAATGTTAAATGCTTTTTATGTGGTGTCAAGTTTGCCTACGTTTTTTTGTTTTTATTTTGTAAAAATGTTAAATGCTTTTTATGTGGTGTCAAGTTTGCCTAATAAAAAGGTTATGTTTGAGTTTAGTTCCGATAAAAAAGACATTTGGACAATTTTCTTGACTTTTTTTTTCCCATAGATTTCCGACCGACATGTTTGTAACAACATTCCGACCAAGATCATTTATTGATAGATTTTCAAAAAACAAAAAAAAAAAAATGTGATCAGGCGTTAAATAATTCGAGATTTAAACGAAAACATTTAAAATTGAGTAATCAGAAAAATCTAATACAAATAAATATCATATATATGTTTAACTAGCACTACAAGAAACCAAGCCTTTAGCGGCGACACAATTACCGGCGACACAGGCTTTTAGCGCCGACAAACCATTTGTCGTTGCTAAAAGCTAGTGTCGCCGGTAATTGTGTCGCCGCTAAAGGCTTTTCACCCGAATCCGCGTTATCCCGTTCTGATAGACCTCAGCCGTTCGATCGAGTATCTAATCCAATGGTTGGGCCTCTTATCCGCACAAAACCAATACCGGCGACTTTTTGTCGCCGCTAAAAGTCGAAAAAATCGCCGCTAATAGTGGTCTAAAAAAAGACGCGGTACCCTTCCCTCTAGATAGTCGCCGCTGTTAACGTGTGTCGCCGGTAAAGCCTACATAGTCGCCGCTAAAGGCTATCGCAGATAAAAAGAAAAAAACGGACGCATTCTGCTCTTTTGCTTCCTATGTTTGATCAAAACGCTGCTGCTCCTTCTTGCCCCATTTTCTACGATCAATTCCAGCGATTCCAACAAAAAATCTCCCCACATTGTGAGATTAAGGATCAAAGGTGTTTAGGGCTTCAATTAATCGGGTTAACTCACGATTTCTAGCTCCATCTCGGGAAAAAAGGTAACTTGAAGTTCTTATATCTCTTTGTCTTTCTATGTTAACTTCGATTTCTAGCTTAATTTGATGATTAATTGCAAATTATTTTTCAATTTCAGTGGTTTTTGTAGTTTTGTCTTTGGGTTTACTGTACGGGTGAGTGTACCGGTGAAGACCAATTTTTTCGGCAACATATTCGTTGATTTCCGCCACTACAGGTTCTATTTAATCCAATTTATTATGAAATTTGAGTTTAATTGAAAGTTATGTGTAGTTGTATAATTATGTGAAATATGCCATATGTATCTATATTTGATATTTGTATGAATCTATGTAAATTTGGTGTATATATGTCAATGTATGTGTGTTTGATTTATATGTTGTATATGAGTATTTGGTACAAGTATGATGTTATTATCTATATATGTGAAATTATATGTATTTGTTATAAGTAGGATGTTATTATGTGTGTATGTGAATGTATGTATGTTTGTTGTATATGTGGTATATGAATGTGAAATTTATGTATTTGGTATAATTAGTAGGATGTTATTATCTATATATGTGAAAGTATGTGTATTTGGTCTAAGTAGGATGTTATTATGTGTGTATGTGAATGTATTTGTATTTGGTGTATATGTGGTATATGTATGTGAAAGTATATGAATTTCATGCTCTTATGTATTATGTGAAAATATGTGGTTTTGGTATAAGTAGGATGTTATAATTGAAAAAATAAAAATAAATTTTGTTATAATTGGAAAAAAAACACAAAAAAATGTTATAATATTGTTTAAAAACTTATATAAAAAAACTAGAAAATTCTAGTTTGTTCCCAAACTAACCCGAAATTAACCAATAAGTTCTGTAGTTAACTTATAATCTTCAACTTAACTTATAATGTTATATTTCTATAGTTTCATATTTATATTTTCATGTCTTTTTTACTTTTTAAATTATTAATTTGCAACATATTTATACAATGGTATAAATAAAAAATATATATATATATATTTTAACCTCGACAGTAAAAAAGAACAACACAACAACGTAATATAATTGTTTAAAGTACAATGCTATAACTGAAAAAAAAAATTATTGTTATAATTAGAAAAAAAAACAAAAAAATGTTATAAAATTGTTTAAAAACTTATATACGAATACTAGAAAGTTTCTACTTTGTTCCCAAACTAACCCCAAATTAACCAATAAGTTCCAAAACTTATATACGAATGCTATAATTAAAAAAAATATTTATACAATGCTATAAATAAAAAATATATATTTTTTTAATTTCGACGGTAAAAAACAACAACACAACAACGTAATATAATTGTTTAAAGTATAATGCTATAATTGAAAAAAAAATATTGTTATAATTAGAAAAAAACAAAAAAAATGTTATAAAATTTTTTAAAAACTTATATACGAATACTAAAAAGTTTCTACTTTGTTCCGAAACGAACCCCAAATTAACCAATAAGTTCCAAAACTTATATATTAACCAATAACTTCCAAAACTTATATACGAATGCTATAATTAAAAAATATATTTATACAATGCTATAAATAAAAAATATATATATTTTTTAATCTCGACGGTAAAAAAGAACAACACAACAACGTAATATAATTGTTTAAAGTACAATGCTATAATTGAAAAAAAAATTATTGTTATAATTAGAAAAAAACAAAGAAAAATGTTATAAAATTGTTTAAAAACTTATATAAGAATACTAGAAAGTTTCTACTTTGTTCCCAAACTAACCCCAAATTAACCAATAACTTCCAAAACTTATATACAAATGCTATAATTAAAAAATATATTTATACAATGCTATAAATAAAAAATATATATATTTTTTAATCTCGACGGTAAAAAAGAACAACACAACAACGTAATATAATTGTTTAAAGTAAAATACTATAATTGAAAAAAAAAACAAAAAAATGTTATAAATATAAAAAATATAAAAAGGTACAATAGTAAGAAATGTTTTTTATGGATATACCAAATTATTAATTTTGCTTTATTTAATATTTTATTCAATAAAAACTAATCGCTAAACATATTAAAAGAAACAAACATTTTTTTCAATAATCATGTGTATATTTGTACAGCTACTATAAATAAAACAAACGTGTGGAAAAAATTGATTTGTTGGATCTTTGACCCTTTTATTTAATACTTACAACTTTTGCCTATATAAATTACAAGTAATTGTAAAAAAAACAATGCTAATTCTGTATACTAAACTCTAAACCCGAAATCATGTTTCAGCAACATCATGTCAATTGATAAAAACTGGACTAGTATTCCACATCGAAACTATCCCGAGTTCCAAGCAGGACTCAAAGCTTTTATCGAGAAGTCCAAGTCACATGTTGATAGTAATGGTAAAATCAGATGTGCGTGTAAAAAATGTGATAACCGTTACTTCAAGTACCCGATTGTAGTGGAACGCTATATATTTATAAATGGTTCCAGTAAGTCGTACAAAACTTGGATCTATCATGGTGAATCTTTTATTCCTCCAGTCGTCTTGCCAAGTAACGAAATGACCGATTTAATCGACGATGTGATGTGGGAGTCGAGAGAAAATGATACCAATCTCGATGAAGGAACCTCGAATACAAGGGGTAGCGGTGTGGATGATGATTTTGCACAGTTGTTAGAAGAAGTGGAAACTAAAGTGTATGTTGGTTGCACCTTTTCTTCCCTTGAGTTTCTAGCAAAGTTAATGCATATCAAGGTGAACAACAAATGGACTGATAGTTCATTTGATCAACTCCTTGAGTTGTTGCAATTAGCATTTCCCAAAGGCAACAAGGTTCCCCCTTTCACATTATCTAGCCAAAAAGAAACTGAAGTCTATTGGTCTGGGGTATGAGTCGATACATGTGTGCAGAAACGATTTTTTTCTCTTTTGGAAAGAACATGATTCATTGCAAGTTTGTCCCGTTTGTAAAGAGAGCCGATGGATCGATAAAAACACCAAGGGTAAGAAAGTAGCTCATAAGGTGTTACGGTACTTTCCTGTGACCCCGAGACTACGACGTTTATATTGTTCGAGGCACACTGCCAAAAATATGATTTGGCATAGTACCGGACGTTCAGAAGATGGTGTGATGCGTCATCCTGTTGATGGGGAACATTGGCAAGATTTTGATAAAAAATACCCTGACTTCTCGAGTGAACCCTATAACGTACGCCTAGGTCTTTCAGCTGACAGTTTTAATCCATCTGGAAACATATGTAATCCATATAGCAAAAGGCCTTTCATACTCACCACATATAATCTGCCACCCTGGCTTTGTATGAAAGAGTCATCATTCATGTTGGCTTTGTTGATTCCCGGGCCGAAAGCTCCTGGTAAGGATATGGATGTTTTCCTTAGGCCGTTGGTGGAAGAGCTTAAACATCTGTGGAAATCAGGCGTACGTATTAAATATGCAACGACAAACACGTTCTTCACGATGAGAGTTATGTTGTTGTGGACAATAAACGACTGGCCAGCTCGTAGTAGTCTATCAGGTTGGAGTGGGCAAAGGTATAGAGCATGTTCTACTTGCAATGAAGACACTCCTTCGTACCGTGCAACAAATAAAGTCGTATATATCGGTCATCGTCGTTTCCTAGACGGTAATGATCCGTTAAGAAAGAGGTTGGACTTTAACGGGATGGAAGAGACAAGACCCGCTCCGAGACACTTTAGTAATGACGACATACAAGAGCAACTAGGTCGTCTACGAACTCGTAAACCGGGTAAACATCCTGAGCATGGAGGTGGGGAGCCAAAGCGGCAAGATGACGAGTTGAATTGGTCGAAACGAAGCATTTTCTTCGAACTCGAGTATTGGTCTTCTCTACAATTGAAACACAACATAGATCTCATGCATGTCCAGAAAAATGTGGACGAGAGTTTGTTAGGTACTTTTCTAATGAACGATTAAAGTAAAGACACATCAAATGCACAAGAGGACTTGAGAATTCTAAACATTCGGAGAAATGAATGGTTGCAAAAAAATGGTGACAAGTTTCATAGACCCCATGCAAATTACTCTTTCACGAAATCTAGTCAACAACTCTTTTGTCAATTTATAAAAGATGTTAAACTGCTGGATGGGTTTGGTTCTAACATCAGTAAGAAAGTGAACGATACCAATACTAACATTATTGGGTTGAAAGCGCATGACCATCACATTCTTATGCAACGTTTGATACCAATTGGAGTTAGAGGGTTGTTAGACAAAGACACTTATACACCTATTGTAGACCTTTGTACGTTTTTCAACCAACTTTGTTCCAGAACATTGAAGGTGGAGGATATGAGAAAAGCAAAAGTACACATTATTTCAATCTTGTGCAAGTTAGAATTGATTTATCCTCCAGCGTTTTTTGACATTATGGTTTATTTACTTTTGCATTTACGTGATGAAGCGATTTCCGGAGGCCCAGTATGTATGATATGGATGTATCCCTTTGAAAGGTACATGAAAAAACTAAAAAACTATGTCAGAAACAAGGCGAGGCCGAAAGGTTCTATAGCTGAGGGTAATGTTGTTGAAGAAGCTTTATCATTTTGTTCGATTTACCTTCGAGATGTAAAGAATCAATTCAATCGTCCAGAAAGAAATGAAGATGTTGTCATTGAAAAAACAAAGTTTTGGATGTTTGAGTCTAAATGTCGACCGACCAGCACAACTCAAATCAAAACTCTTAATTTAACGGACATGCATAACATGGAATGGTTTGTATTGAATAGTTGTGAAGAAGTCACACATTATATAAAGTAACTATTCTTATCTCTAACTTTCATCCTTAAATTTTTTTTTTATCTTTTTAAATCTATATCTTTTTATCATCAACATAGGAAATTCAAATCCGAACATTCCCAAAGTGATGAAAAGAGATAATTTTGTAATTGGTTTCGTGAAAAGGTAACATAAATTAATAAACAAATTTGTTTCATTGATCTAAAGAATACATAATACATATTACTTTATTTTTGCTAGGTTCATCAAATGAAAATAGAAAACTCTCCAGAATTCCACAAAGAGTTGTCGGCTCTTGCAAGGGGTCCGCAAATGAATGCTTATTCTTACACCGCATGCATAGTCAACGGTGTTAGGTTTATGGTACTTAGTCGTGACGCACAACGAACAACACAAAACTTTGGGGTTTTAGCGGTGGGTGAGAAAGGCGAGAAATATTATGGCCAGTTAGAAGAGATTATAGAGCTGAGGTATACGCATGATTA